GCTAAGAGGACCAGCACTGAACCATGAAACAGCATAAATGGGGCAGCACTGGAGTGTAGAGAGGGTAAGTACTGCTTGCCAATTTAATTTCTTTTTTTTTTCAATAGAAGGGGGTGGGGGACTTATTTTATTAAGAAAAAAGAAACCTTGAGGCTAGAGTTGGGCTTTAAGCAGGGATGCTTACCCAACTGCCTAATATACAAACTGTCACTAGAGGAAGAATCCACAAGTATTCTTATGCAACACCACAAATAGAAAATATGTGAAAGTCTTGTCAAATTCTGTTTCAGGTAAACATTACAATAATCTGTCAGAACATGATATCATATGAAATCCTTACCATCTTGTCTTGAATTGTATTGTAATTGTAATGTCTTCCTTATATTGTAAAGCGCTGCTCAAACTGTTGGCGCTATATAAATCCTGTATAAGAATAATTATACTTAATATAGAAAAGCACATACTTTTCTTGTTATACAGCAAACTGATTTACCAATATTTTGTTTTTCCGGTAATAGAAGCATTGTTAAAGCTCTTGGGCTACCAAGACGTGTGATTTATTATATTACAGCTGGCAAATAGAGCATCATTGCCACTGCTGGTTGAAAGATAGAAAGCAATTTGCTCATACTAAAGGAGTAAATGAAGATTCAGCTCAAACTACTGCTATACGACAATGAACACTTCATCCACTGTTGATGCCACACTCTGCAGGCAACAAGAAGGCCGCTGGAAACCTCACATCTAAATAATAATGGGAGTGTCATATTATGCAGATTTATAGCGATGCATGGCTTTGTAGCCAGAAGGGACTTGGATTTATGACACCTTAATGTCTGCATCTATGTCCCAAGTGGCTAACACCCATTTACCAGCGGGACAGTCTATCATACCCCAAACTGCAGCTGTGACATTCATTAACTGTTCCACTGCCTCAGGGAGCATGATCACACCACGATGCTCATGGCATGATAATAAAAAGACTTTATTATTGCAGCTGTATACCTGACAATTAAGAGCTGTTCCAAAGGAGTGATATCTAGTGTTTAACTTTCAAACACATACTCATCAGTTATCAGACACAACTTTAAAACAGGCGCACACTGCAACCAGTCATATCAGATGCATGTTTTTTTTTTACACTGTATTCTTTTACGAGGTTGTCAGACGATTGCAATGGCTGGTTTAATTGTAGAATAAAAAAGTGATGCTATATGCAGCAGTCAGGAATGTTGGGCTGTGTTTTCTCTGTTTAAACTGTGCCTGTTTGTGCACTAAAAGTTCCAAAATAGATTTGGTGAAAAACCAGCACAAAGGGGCATATTTATAAACTTTACCACTCACGTTTGTCCTACTTAATACAGCAACTGTGCATTCAGAGCATGTCCTAGCCAATCATGCCACGTGTACGGTTAGCTGCTTCAGCAGCTTGATCTCTGGGCAGATCTCTCCATAGTGCTGCTCCATAGTGTTGTTTTTAAACAGCTTTAGAATTTGGAGAGTTAAAATGAAATTAAATGTAACTTTTTTTAAATAGAAAATAATAACAGTTGTGTGGAACAGATGTGTGGCTCCTCGACCTGAACCCAACCTGTTCGTGGTTCAGGAAACGGACAAACAAAATGGCCAGATTTAGCCAGTTTTCTGTAACGCCTAAACCTTTGGCTGATGCAGCCAGAAGTCATTAATTTAAAGGTGGTTTCTACATTGCTGAACAACATGATTGATGTTGGATCTATGCTGCGGGACAACGTGGTTGACATTGGATTTACATTGGGGCACAGTGTTGATTTATTTTCTTAAAAAAGGTCTTTCTTTGTGAATAAGTAACAGGGTACATTATGTATTCCTTATTCATTCAAGTAAGGGTGATGGTTGGATATTTGTAAGCCCTCTTTTAAAGGGGGCTTCCAGATTCTGATAAGCCCCCTCCCCAGCAAAAACTTTGTACCAGCAAAAGCCTTGTAAGTGATGTCACCGTGTAACCGCCCACCAACGCGTTTCATTGTGGGACTTCTTTTGGGTTGTGCTACACATTGATGTCACTTAGTCCAATATATTCCTCCCATTTTACAAGTACCAAAGAATTTTCAATTACCCTGCAATATCCAAAATATCCACTAGCTGTCACTTTCCATCTAACCACCTATAGAAAACCAGTCACATTATTCAGTTGATCATCAGTCCTATTTTTTTCAATGTTCCTACACGCTAATTTACTCCTAATTACTTATAAATCCTTTATTAAAAACCTACATCTCCTATTTTCTAAAACCCTTGATATACATGTGACCATATATAAATATTTTTTCACACAAAATATCTATGTTGGTCTTTCTAGTGTTGTGATAAAGTTAAATTGGTGTGTATTATAGAGAGATCACCCCCATGCTGGCCACGATCCTATCTCCATCGGTAAAGTGCATGTTGTCTCCCTAATGTGTCCACCTAATCTCGGTGGAGGAACACTCATCATTAATTTAAACACTGTATGACCATTTTCAAAGAACTCTGAACTCATGGCTCCGATTCTACTTCCGGCTGCAGTTTATACAGACACTGGGTGCAGGCTGCAGTGTGCTCCTCACTTGTCAAATCAATCTCCAAAAGATCAGCTGCACAAAGGCCAGCATAAGTGAAGTCAAAAATGTATTTGAATTAAGTGATCCACCACCTGGGCTTAATCATAGATCTCTGATTAAGAACTGGTGGTGGAACGCGTGAGTGGCATTGGTGCGGGAGAAACTCATGGTGGTGTACATGTTGCATATCTTAATTTGGAATTTTGCTTTTTGAATTGACTTCATTTAAAAAAAATTTGACTTCACTTACGCTGGTCTTTTTGCGGCTGATCTCTTGGAGACTGTATGACCATTGTTTTCCTAATGGTCCACCAAGTCTGGAGAGTGCGGTCTATATTGCTTTGAGTGGCACATAGTTTGGGAGAGGTGACACCTGAGAGCAATTTTCGCAGACCTCTATCAATAGACTCATACATGGACCTTACTTTGACACTTTATAAATCACTGGATGCACTGATGAACTTTTGTCCTGTAATTTGATTGCTATTAATTTAGAGACATATTTATTGTTCATGACCATTTTTGGTCAATAACGTTACCTGCGATCTCTGGCCTGTTTGTTGACATCCAGCAGCTGGTGTTGTGTCGGGGAACTGTCATTTGTGACAAGCGTAGCGACAGGAGAAGTTCGTCATGGCGCAGGTCATCATGTTGGCAGGTTGTCGTTGATCGTGATTGACGTTGGATTTATATCAGGGGACATTGTGTTGTTTTGATAATTTTATTTTAAATAAAGACTTACTCCTTACTCATTCATGTAGGGAGGATGGCTTGATATCTGGGGTCCCCCTTATACTAAAGGTGGCTTTCAGATTTGGATAAGTCCCTATGTTTCTCTCTCTGCAAGGTTCCTTCCCAATGTTAAGGGCATGTGGTCTGGTATGGTTCAGGAGGGGGTGTACACTTGCTGCCCCCTACCATCTCTAGAAAGCCAGGGACAGTACACATACACATAATTTTGGGTGCACCATCAGACCAGTGGATGCATTTCAGGTATGGATTTTGAGGGGGAACCCATGATGTTTTTTAAAAAAACAGAACAAAGCCAGCAGGGAACTTGCATTTAGCACCAGTAATTTTGTGGCCACTTTTGCAGGAATACTGGTGTCAAACTTTACCTTTGGGTTGAAGGCATCCCCCAAGCATGTTACCTAACGTATTTGTGCTTTTTCAATTTTAACTCCGTCCCCCCAAATGGTAATTGCATTGCATTAATTTGCATTGGCACATGTCCTGGGTAAACGCTCAGCTACTCATGCCCCCTTTTAACAAAGCTTACTAACTGGCCTTAAAAAAGGGCAGAACAAATTACCAGATTCGGCTCCCATAGATTTCAATAGGGTTTGGGCGCTATGTTTGGTTTTTGCAGATTTTAGGCTCTGTGAACATCCATCAAAATTAACTTTGCTTGATTTACTCATCCATATCTCTGACACCATGGGCTGCTAAAGGGGCAGCGAGCATATAATTGTCTTCCAAGCTGAGTACAGTTTAAATGCCTTTCAGGCTTAAGGGGTTCTTTGAGGGGGTCCCCAAACCGAGCACCCCCCCTCCTCCAGAAAAAAAGCTTTTTATCATCCCCAATGCCCAGGAGATGGTGCTGGCAAAAAGAGCCTCTTTCATCTGACTTATGGGCCACTTACTGACCCTTAAACCCAAAATTAGTGGCCCAACTGCTTTCGAAAAATAGGTTTTATGCAGTTGACCCTGCTTACAACAGCAGCATGCACTTCCGCACAGCCGCTGGTGTGTGCTGCAAAGAAAGCGGTGCAATGCGATGATTACAGTGCATTACAGTTTACTTTTTTTGTTACAACTTTGTTGAAATGTTGCAATGCAGTATAGTGTGCTGCAACACACTGCAGTGGAAAAAAAAGATCTTCATGCTGTACACCACTGCAACGAGGTGGTGTGAACTGACTTAATAGGACACCAGTCAAATTGCCTTGTCTATGCATTAGGACTGTAGTGATGTGAATGGGCCCTGAAAAAATTAAAAAAGCACACTTTTAAAAAAACAAGAATACACATTTTTTAGGCAAATTTACTTTTTTTTAGGATCTAAGTACATCTAACATGTCATAAGGGATCTTAATACTTTCATAGAAGATGCACATACATTTATACCTTTGTATACAATTACATGGTAACTTTTAAGTACATCTTTCACAGAGTTATCTGAATGTCAAAGTTTTGCCCATTTTTAATGGGCAAAACAAATGCAATGAAACATTATTTATATAACTGTGATGTTTTGGGAATATATACTTTCTGAAATATGCTTTTTTATTATCAAAAGATACTTTCTTTCTCAAATGGGAATAAGAAAAACACTCTATCAGATTCATTCATTACATCGTAGACTTACAGCTGCATCTGAACAGCATTGTATTAGTGTCCATTATTCATATAGCAGGAACATATTCTGGTAAGGTGCTTATGTTCCAAATGAAAAACTGACATTTCAGAAAGGGGGCAGAGGAGAGGGCAGAAGGAGGGGCACCCATCCTCTCCTCCATCAAGATGACACACATGAGAGAATAAGACAGGACTCATTTAGACGTCTGGCTGGAATCAGACCGTCCTCTCTGGGTGAGCCTTCTTGTTCCTTCAGCTCTGCCCTTCTCCCTGCCAAAGCCTGTCAGGGAATTAGCACAGATATCATGCCGGATTTTGCAGGAATTTGGAAAATGAAAAGCAGCGAGAATTTTGATGAACTTCTGAAAGCCCTTGGTAAGACTGGCAGACCACTAACTGTGCAGCATGCTAGCATCTTTGTCTTATGCTTTAGGTTCTCTAATTTATTAGTAGTATTAGTGTATTACCTGCCTTCAGTTTACACAATGTACCTGGGGAAATCATATATAATATATATGTGCTTTTTTCGAACAAGGTAACATCTACAGGTGGGGTTTCAGGCAGATTATAGTATTGTTTAAAAAGCAGAAGTGTTTTTGGGTTGGTTATGTAATGGAAAAGCTTATGGGGTATATTTATAAAGCAGTGAGCATCACATTCACCATTCATTCACTGAAGGTGTTTCTGGTGCATGTGTTTCAAATTATAGCGATTGAGTTACCTGCAGTGAATGTTTTTAAATGTCACATTCACTGCTTTATAAATGTACAGTAAGTGGTACTTGGATGCAATATATATTTACATAACACTTAGGAATTCATCTGCTAAGCGGCAATATCTTAAAAAGATGCATAGAAGTTAAAAGAAGAAGGTATTATACATTATTTACTATTTAAAAGAGTTTTACTTCTGGTGAAGTGAACCGGTAGACATATTACTCTGAACACATCTATAGATGTTTAAAGTGCATACAGATACACTTCTGCAGGAGCAAAAATAACTCCTCAATGAAATCCACATCACTGGGTATTTCAATTATGAGATGTAAAAATGAGAAGCTGTACACTTTCATTCAGGTTGTTTCTCTACCTGATCTAGATTTTTCTCGGAGCACACATGTTATATGGCAATGTAAAAAAAATGAAAACACTCTAAAATTCTAAGACCCTGTAATCTATACTTTTATTCTTAAATATCAGTATAGTTTATTATCTACCTAAGATTCAATAAACATCCTTGATATTATGCTGAGTCAGAATATTTTAAACCCAATAATAGACTGAAACATGCTGACATTTGGGTGAATAGATACATTTTTTTATAAACAAATAAATAATACATTTATTGAATTATCTGTCATTCTAATTATTTTATAAACCACTGTATGTTCTAGCAAAAAAAACAAGCTTGTGGCTTAGATTACCTTGTGGCTTAATTAGGCATACTGATGCCTCGAAAAATGTATTGTTTCTCGTGTTTTACTTTGTCGACACATTTATTGCCTATTGCATAAGTTCTGAGAGATGCATTATGTACATTTTCACTTGAGATCAGTTTACAAAAAAGAGATCTTAATGATTTTTTGACATCAACTAATTTTTGCTCCATAAAAATGTGCAGAAACATCTCCATAATAAGTAAGTTTTAACAAACAGGACTCCAGGTATTGTGTCTACAAATACTTCAAATATTTATAAATAGCAAATAATTGCAGTTTTCAGCCTGCCCAAAAATGTACAAACCGTGTTGGTTGGGGTATTAAGAGTTATGAGTTACAAAATGTGTTACTCATCTAGAGGTGCTATTTTTTTCAGCTTTTGGATATATCCTATTTCTAATTAATTATTCTGAGGTGGTTAAAATCAAAAATATACATTTATATGAGCTGTGGCAAACACAGGAATAAGCTTAAAGATGTAGCTTATTTGTGTATCACACGGCTGTAGATCCTCAAATCATCTCTGAATTGGTGCTGACACTGTCCTTCCTTCTGGAGGGCGGCTACTTTTGTTCCCCATGGCACCTGTGTGTGTCGTAAAATAGCCACCGCTCCAAGCTCACTCCTGTGATAGACTTACAATCTCACATTTAGTTTACTAATTTGTATTAAGATTGTAGTCCATCACGATAGTGAGCTTGGAGCGATGTCTACTTTACAACACACAAAGGGACCATGGGGAACAAAAGTAGATACTGCTCCAAGCTCACTCCCGGGATAGACTACAATTTCACATTTAGTTTACTAATTGGCATTTATTTTGTAGTCCATCACTGGAGCAAGCTTGGAGCGGTGGCTACGGGCTGCTTTACAACACGCACAGGGACCATGGGGAACAAAAGTAGCCACCCTCCAGAAGGAAGGACAGTGTTAGCACCAATTCAGAGACAATTTGAATGATATACAAATAAGCTAAATTTTTACTAATAGTTAAGGTGCTTGAATACATTTTTAAGATTTAACTCCTAAGTTTAGTGTCATTTTAATGTATATATAACCCCCAAAACAAATATTTATATATTGCAGGTTACATGTTTTTCCTTCACTTTCACCTAGTAATTCTGCAAATACTTCCTGTCCCTTCATGTTTTCATTCATTTCTCCTTTGTATCTACAGTATGGGGCAGCCATGGTTGTTACACAGGATGGACTTCAAACATGTCTGTCCTTGTTGATCTTTATAACATGGTAGATTGATGGGACAAGTAGTTTATACAATAAAGATATGTTTCTTTATGTTTTCCTTTAAGCTTACAGGAAGTGACAAGGACATTGCATTTCCGGACAGATCAACAGGTATTTTCTGTACTTGGTGAAACCAATGCAGCCACCAAAATTCACCAACGTGAACTGCAATTTATTCAATTTTTGTTTTGGGGTTTAGATTTGCTTTAAAGGAAACCTTAACCTTGACCTTAAAGATAAGCTTCACTGACCCAGAAAAAAATCAGGCTTCAGCAAGTGCATTGTCATGTATATACCACAGAAGATAATTACAGCATGTATGGCCTTAACAGTGTATATAACTGAAACTTCTTCTGTAAGGCAATTTAGGAGGATTTTCCTGTTATTATTGGGGGAGGGGTTAAAACCATCCTGAATTAAACCAAACATTTAGCCTTCTCCCAAAATAGTTTTCTAGTTGCATAGTTATATAAGAATTGTTAAATCTTAAAATGGGCGAAAATTGTTTATTACATCCTTTGTATATGACCCCAACAATACAGGTGTGAATGCCATGCTCAGGAAAGTAGCAGTGGCTGCAGCTTCTAAACCCCATGTTGAGATCCGTCAGAATGGAGACCAGTTTTATATTAAGACATCTACCACAGTTAGAACTACAGAGATCCAGTTCACAGTTGGGAAAGAGTTTGATGAGGAGACTGTGGATGGCAGAAAATGCAAGGTAGTTCTTCTTTATATATCAATCTTTCATGACACTGTGGACCAATGTGAATCCATTTTTGTGATACATAGTTTATTCAATTAAATTGCATTTAAGAAACGTCAATGTTCCTAAATGTCTCACTGATCAAGTGAATGGCACAATGTAAATGGCTTTGGTTGCAAGTAATCAGTGTTGCAATTTATACGGACTGCAATTCCTCAACTCCAGTCCTCAACGACACTGATCTTCTGCAATAACTCAGATCAGTATTAAATACTTGTAATATTAGTAATTCTCATTGAATAGCATGGGTTAAAACCTGTGTCAGGATTTTACTGTTGTCTGTGTCTCACTGTGGAGGTTTCCCTTACTTCCTGTCCCAAGACAGGAAGTGGAGGAATTCTCCCCTACAGAAACAAACATGGCCATTTAAACTTGACAGAACTTTCAATTCTTCTTCACTGTATACTAGACCCACTCCCCTTATTATAGTAGATTTTCCCTTACTGCCCTCAACTGCCACCTATAACCAGAATAGGAGGAGACAGAAAACTCTCTCAAGGGGGACACATACATCAACAAAATTCATACAGAGATTCTAACCTTCTCTATTTAAAGCAAAAACAACTGTTTTGGTTGAAGTTCACTTTAATAGATTCCAGTTTGCTGTATGTTGAAAGAGAAGTGGTAAAATGTGACCTATCTGTTAATGGGATAAAAGGAAGCTTTAATGAATAGGCTAACGAATAGGTAATTAAACTTTGTAAGGGAGAATTTAAACTGGCACACACAATCCAGTCATAAATATGATTTGTGCCTAGTATTTATATGTGTCTGACCTTTTCATCTGCATTTGCTTGATGGAAGAAAAAGCTCTGTGCTGCAATGGTTTGGGGTGGTAGCAGGAAAAGAAGTAAAGCTTCTCACAGCTCTTTTTGCTTCCACCATATCTGTGCTTACACGTGCACAATTATTTGTGTCATGTTGCTGGCTGCTTGTGCCATATTGGGAAAGCTGATACATAAGAGCACATCCTCCAATATGACTGAAGAGACCACCATTATAGAGATTACTGTTCACATATACAATACAAAAATGTTATGAAAGTTGTTGAAGATATGGTGGATAAAACTGAGACAGAGATGCCGCATGCAATACGGTTCAAACTCATGCCTATTTACATGTAGTAGAAATGCCTATATAGAATAAACTTTTCAAAAGATGAGCAAATGTTTAGATATTTCTCTGTTATATAAAGCTCAGCCAAGCTTTGATAGGTTTGTGATAAGTTTAAAACTCCAAAAATTGCCCTTCACCAAGCATACTATTTTAAGGCTTGGTAAACTATTACAAAAGGTATAATGGAAACCCTTTTTGAAAAACAATTATGGTGAAGTTTAAAAGATACTTCTTTCAACCTATGATCATCCTACATTGGTAGGGTCTGAATTACTAAAACAGTATTTTTAAACTGTCCTGTGTTCTTTTTATATGGTCAACATGACTCAATGGAATTAATAGGTTATCATTTCTAAATTAGATGAATACTAAAAATACTAAATATTGATGTAAATGTTGAGGTCTAAATAAGGTTATAATAAAAAAAACAATATAATTCTTGTCCTATACTATTACAAAAATGGATTTCAGGCTTACTATGCATTTTTGTTAGATAGTATTAAGTAGGAACTGTGAGTACTGCCTAATCAACAATGGCAATACATTCACTGCATATGATAAATGAGGTCCACCCAACAATTGTGAATCATGGTTCACTGCCACAGAAAATTGCAATAAATTCAATATTTAACATTCCTCCATTAGCCTACTAAACTAAGAGCTCGGTATCAAAATTAATGTACTTACTGTACAATCCTTTTCTTTGAGACTATTGAGGGACACAGGAAGTCTTTCACCTCCAGGTTTTGCTGCCATCTACAGGAGGTTTGGACACTGACTAACAAAAAACAACAACTTTAGGCCAGGCCAGGAAACCCCTCCTACTACTGGCATGCCTCAGTTTAGTAGCAAGCAGTCCCTAGAGATTGATCATAAACACAGAGTGGAGTCCAAAAAAAGGATTTTACGGTGGGTACACAAATCCTATCTTCTTTCTTGTCCATTGAGGGACACAGAAAGTCTTTTACCTTCAGGATGTTAAAAAACAGCCAAACTGAAGGGTGAGCATCACAGCAAACAAATGCCAACAGGACAAGAAAGAACTGGGAACTGCCTGCAGCTCCAGGAGCCACCTGAAGGCCCATATGCCTGACACTGGCATCAGCTGAGGCCTCGACATCCACCTGGTAGAGCCTAGAGAACGTGTGAACAGAAGCAAATCTGAGAAATAGTTGCTTGATGCAAAAAGAAGCACACAGATCTAGTAGAGTGCACGTTGATAGGAAAGGGTGGGACCCAATCCTTGATACCAAAAGCCTGGATAATGGTCTGCCTGAGCTACCTAGAAATAGTGGAACAAGAAGCCGGAGCACCCTTCTGGAGTCCATCTGGTATGACAAAAAGAGAATCAATCTTCCTGAAATAAGTAGTAGCTGACAGCCTGAACCACATCCACACAATGGAGGGAAATTTCCTTTGGGTAAACAGGAGCCAGAGCTAGGGAGGGAAGAACCATATCCTGGTTTAGCTATAAGGCAGAAAATACCTTAGGCAAGAAGGAAGTCCTGGGCCTCAACATCACCTTGTTCTCATACAAAACTAGAAAAGGCTCCTCGCGGGGTAGGGCTGCCCGTTTGGATACTTGCCATGCTGTTAAAGCAAGTGACTGTAAAGCAGGATAATAAATCGGTTCCTGAGACAGAAGATCCTGATAATCTGGCAGATCCCACAGAGCTTCTGCCAGGAGTCTTCGGTGTACCACATCCACTGAGGCCGGTCTGGAGCAATGACAATAAACAGAATGCCCTGTATCTCAATTCTGCAAAGCAGATAAGCGAGTTGTTTTTAAGGGAGAAAAGGCATAGATCAGGGTGTACTGATCCCACAGAGCCACCAGACCATCCACTGGTTCCTCCCTGATGGTTGCTGTAGCGTTGTCTGACTGAACCCAATACAGATTACTTTTGAGCAGGATGCTGTAGAGACAGCCAGATCACCCAAAGTTCCAGAATGTTGATTTGGAGACGGGACACCTTAGACGACCAAGTCCTCTGCACTGACAAAGGACTCCTTTGTCGTGGCATTTGTTGTGAGGATCTTCAAAACGACTGGAAGGAAGGACTTCCCCAGTACCAGAGCTGGAAACATGACCCGCCAACAAGCCAGGGGACAACCTCTGTCCAGGGACTGTATTGACTTGTCCTATGACAATAGAATGTTTTGTTGTAGAAGTCTGGAGTGAAACTGGGCAAATGTGAACGTGTTTGTACTTATGTCCTTTACAGTTGATTGAACATCCTGTCAAATGCTTTGGAAGCAGTCAGTACTACATCAACTCCAAAACACTAAAGGGAAAACCTAAAATGCACCCATATTGATGCATAATAACTGGTTTTATAGCTCTATATATTTTTATACATTTTTTTAGCCTGTTGTAGGAGATGATGCTTCACAGAAACAACTCCCTGCTTCTGCAACAACCCTCCATAACAGTATCTGCTACTAATTGCAAAACCAAACACAAATTATCAATATAAAATAACATAGCACATAACAAAGAATGCAGTGCAGTGCCCACAGCTATTTAAGTGTGTAACCCTCCATAAAGAAAGAAGCCCCATTTTAATTATATGGATAAGCCCCATAAAAATAACCATAAAATAATATATTCCCCACTTAAGTGCGGAAAGTAGAAGTGCTTTAATATAACACAATGACGGCAGAGTGAGTGAAATAGCTGGACACGTTACAGCTGTCAGTGGAAATACATTAGTGTAACAGATGATACACATAATGGCCTACAATGTGCTATATATTTCTTTGGCTGACACACTGAACGTGAATTGGCTACATGATTGCATCCCAGACATTACACAGACCAATGCGATGTACAGTTTATTAATCCTGACATGGCACGGCATGAAGCCATGATTTATATGGCCGCCTCACATCTGCCCTTTTATACAGATCACACTAAAAAAGATGGGCTGGATTTACAAGAGTATTCATGCGGCAAGAAGGGTATAACAATAAAATATACAGTGGAACAAATTGGCAGAATTAAAAAAATTATTTGTTTTTACTAGTCGCTGTAGCAACTTCATAATTTGTAGTTTTAAAGTTTTATTCTTCACTTTGCTTCTAAATTTAATTTCCCAGTAAATTCTTCACGCCATCCCCACCTTTTCCCTTGTAGTTTGCACCCAAGGCTCTTTTCTGCAATTGTTTTGGCCATTTACTCCATGAAATTGCCTTATGATCATCACAAAATGAATTCTGTGATGCTCAATCTGTATACAGGCAGTCCCCGAGTTGCATACATCCGACTTACATACGACTCCTACTTACAGACAGAGGCTATTACTATGCAGCAGGGGTAGTTGTAATGCTACCACGCTCGTGCTGACGAGGAGTGCCTGCCTTTTTGGGTCTGGTTTCTAGTACTGTACGTACATTACAGGAAGTTGGCTCTTGTTAGACGTGCAGATGAGGGGTGCCCACCTCTTCTTCCGGGTCACTGTGAGGTTTTTACTGCTGTCTGTATCCTCATTAGAAAGATTTAGGGGGTGATTTACAGACCCTATCTTGTTCGTAACCCGGGAACTGCCTGTATGTAGATAGGCATGGTGCCATGGAAGAACTGCTGGAAGTAAAGAGTGCTATTAAGTGGTCAAGAAACTACCATGATTCTATGGCTAGGATATGTTTAATACTGCTTAGATCTGCAAAAGCATAATAGCTTTGATCAAAGTGAAGTAGTATGTACTGTATTTTTCGTGTATAAGACGCTACTTTTTCATTAAAATGTTTACCTAAAAATAGAGGGGCGTCTTTTACACGGGGGCCGAGAGGAGAACTGTGGTTGCAAAACTGCCGAAAGTGCCGCTACCACTGCAAACTACCGTGGCCTCACGAGTGAAACTTTGGATTGCAGAGACAAGATACGTTTTCCTCCAATCATAAATCTTTTGTACCTGACGTCAGCTGTTGCTGGGGAGAGTGGCTCTGTAATCCGCTCTCCCCAGCAACAGCTGACGTCAGGTACAAAAGATTTATGATTGGAGGAAAACTGTTATCTTGTCTCTGTAATCCGATCATAAATCTTTTGTACCTGACGTCAGCCGGCGCTCGGGAGAGCGTGTAGCCAGTGCCCGGAGCTGTAATGTCAGAACATAACGTGATTGAGGTAAGTGTGATGCATTATACCATTTAAAATATTGATTTCGGAATTTTGGGTAAGAAAAGTTGGGGGCGTCTTATACATTACATAGGGGCGTCTTATAGACGGAAAAATACGGTAGTATGTAACTCACAGCTATTAGAGGCATGCCTGAGGTACATGCAGCTCATCACCTGCAGCACATACATTAGCAAGCTGTGAAATAAGTACAACATACATATCTGTCTATGAGATTGAAAAAAAGTATCTACTAGCAAAAAAGAATATGTACTGATTAGGATTAGGCTGTGTGGGTTGTCAACTCTTAAACTAAAGATGCTCTCTGGGAGCTATTTATATTCTTTCCACCTACTCAGATCAGTTATTAAACGTTCTTAACTAATTATAGGAGAACTAAATGATTTATAACTAACTGCCACACAAGTGATTTTCTAATGTAATCTTGATATAACCACAATGTTTTCTCCTAGTACCATGTGCTTTTGAGATTTGAAATAAAGCTAAAACACTTGCATGACCTGGATGGCAAAATATTTTCTCAACAGATGTGGACTTTCAATTTATCTTTCAAATATCAAATCAGCCCTGCATGTCATCTAGCCTGCAGAAAGGACCCATTCAAGCAGCTTAAGCAACACCAAGTACATATGTGAGTCAGTCACAAGGCCTGTGTATAAAGCACAAACATTCAATACTACTCGTGAATTCCCAGGCTGCTCCTGGTAGTGGCGATAAGTGATTTAGATGGGACTCAGAAGTATCAGTGCACCTTATGCATTCAGCTGGCTGGTTGGCTCATTTAGTCGTTGGCTAACTGTTGAAATGTGTGTCAATATAGTTTGCATCATTTACCTTCTTTCCATATTTGTTTCCCTTATTCTATTCCAGAGTTTGCCCTTGGATAGGTAGTGCCTCTGTATTTTTTTCCAATACTGGCATCTTTCAATAGGAGCACATTTTTTACAGCACCCCACCACCACCACTACCACCAACTGCCTACTTTCACATGGTAGGCCTGTTAATATTATAAATCTGCAGCTTAAACGACTGCTGTAGCTGGAAAAAAAAATCTTTGGAGAGCTACAAAGGGTATTGATGGTACAATGAATCTGTAATTTGCATTTCTAATTAATAACACAGTGGATGTTGCTTTTAATTAGGAGGCATGTTTTCCTGTTTTCCATTGTGTAGACTGCTTAGTAGATAATCCTGGAGATGGTGTTGATTTAGTTAAGGCAAATAGGCTGTTCACTTTGCAAGGGAATGTTCCCTTAACTTACTACACCCAAATAAAAGCAAAGTAAAAAAAACAGTATTTTGTTTGCACATTATTGGATTATGGAAGTCAGCACAGCTTCATCTCATTCACTATGTTAAGAGAAAACTCACTTGCGCTGTTAAAATCCCCTTCCAAAGTGAACAGCTTATTTTCCTTAACCAAAAAGGAAAACCAACCCCGCTGTCTCATGTTTCACATTTTATATTATGTTTTGTGTTTTGTTTTCTGTATCTCTTGACATAGGTGTATTAGTTATCTTCTTTGTATTCCTTGTTATTAGAGTTTTCCTGTATGGGAGAAGGCAAATAAGATCTACTGTAAGCAGACTCTAGTGGATGGGACAGGACCCAAGACATATTGGGCTCGTGAACTTGCAGGAGATGAGCTGATTCTAGTAAGAAAATCTACATTAATTTGTAAAGGAACATTCGTTTCTGTAATTACATATATCAGTCTAAGAAGACTTAAATGGATATTCAAAAATATGTGGGCTCCAGTGATCCAAATCTAAAAAGCCGCCTTCCAGCCTGGCTTTCATTTTCACCTGTAAAGTAAACCTGCCATAAGGTAAATTATGGAGCTGCATTTGCTGACTTCCTTTTTAAAATGCTAGTTGTTGGAGCAGTATGTTGATCCATTGCTTCGGTTAATAAATCAATGACCCCAAAACAAGTGTTTGGTTAGAAAAGTCAGAGATAAGTCCTTAGCTGCATACTTCTTTCAAGTCAGTAACTCAAAGTTTTACAGCCAAAGGGTCAGCAGGACAGCCAGGCAACTAAGATTTTCAGCAGGTGAGGTCGTGTACCAATCAAATCATGCCGCATATAGTAGAACGACTGATCAGATCATTTGAGTGGGAGAACCAAATTAAAATATTTTGTATTATTTATCTTATTGATATTGCACTGGTATATTACAGAGTGCTTTGAACCAATAGCATCAAACACTGCTACAGATGAGTTTACAGTCAAATCTCACTAGCTTAGTTATACAAGTGAACACATATAGACACACTATGGACAATATGGTTAGAAGCCAGAATGTATTTGGGTTGTAGGAGGAAACCACCTGGAGGATATGCAAACAAATAATGGGACAATTTCATGTGGATTTTGTGTCTGATAGAAATTGAATCCAGGATCCTAGAACTGCAAATCAAGAATGCTAACATTATGTGCTGGATCAACGTAGGGAGATGGTGTGAAACTCAAAATGTTTGTTAATGGCAAAAGTTCCTGTTATTCTGCTAATGAGTTTGTGTAGCAGTGACAAAGAACACACTGCTGTTTCTCACCCCACTGTGGCCCATGGAGGCAGCATGATTAAATCACATTGTACCCAGCCCACATTTACACTTAGCAATATTAATTCCTCTCATTAGTACAGTATATACAGATGAGCTGGCCAGACAGTCAGGTCAACAAAAACATGTTAATACAAGAAAGTCTTTGTTATCTGACCAAACGCTCATTAACATTACACGTATACAAAGAGGTCGTTGTGCTATTGCTCATTATAACTGTGGCCTGAAATTTTTTTCTGTTCAAAATTGCCTTTATTATTATTTTCAACCTGATCTAAAAAAAAAAAAAAAAATCACTTCCAGATCTTCCTTTCAACCCCAAACCTGACTCAGTTGCTTTCCGGCCATGAGTCACACACCAGTCTGGCAGTAGAAGAGATTTCTGGAGTATAGCAGATTGGCCATGTCAGAAAATTGCTAGTCTATTTTAAGCATATGCTTAAAGTGGATTGAAAGAAAGTGAAGAAGTTGCCCACATCAACCAGTTAGATTAGATTTTTACTTTTAAAGTATGAACAAAAAAAAACTGCTGCTGATTTAAAATATCCATAATCAACTATTGACCTGTAGCAGTTGGAAAATGTGCAAAAAGGGAAGGTTGGATAAATATACCATGTCCAAAACGAGGACCAGTTGGTCAACAGAAGAATGCTTAAGATTGGCATTCCTAGCCCTTGCCTTCAAGAAAAAGAACGCTTCAACATAGATAGCATGACAATAAGTTGACAATAAGTTGGTCAGCCAGAGAAGACTCAAGCCTAGTATTGACAAATGTTACTTCAGGGAAAGGAAGGAGCACAATAAAAAAGAGGGGACCTGATAAGACAGCCAACCTCACAAGGAGATAGCCATGGGTGAGAAACCTGTCACGGTGTAATAATGCCAATGGTTGGAAAATAAATTATTCACAATGTTTGTAGAACTGAAGGGTATTAAACCAGTATCTTCCTAAAGGAGAGGGTAGGGGGAAAAAACTACTACCCTAGCAGAAAAGATAGGCAGGGATGATACACTGTAACCTAGATTGGAGTGCAATAATACTCAGATGGGAAGGAAGAGAAAGTATCCTTCCAAACAAACATCCGAGGTGTTCCATAGGTGTGATAGACCCAGAAAAAAAGAACCTGCCTAACCAATTACTCATGATATCATTCTAAGGGGTTGATTTACTATAAACACGCCACAAACAAGTATACACCTCTGTAGTGTGTTCCCTCCCAGCATGATCTATTGGTGGAATCTAGACACCTTTGTAGTGTGTACACACCCAGCAGGTGTGTTGTGCAAAGCCCTGCATGAATTGCAAGGTGATGTTGTGTAAATTAGCTCTACATTGTGTTGCTTGCGTTGATGAATGCAGGAATGTAAATGCATGAGCTAACCATTTTTTTCTAAACTGTGAAGCAGCATTATATATGCATCATGTGCATGATTTTTCCATATATGGCATTAGTGGAAATATGCTTTTAGAGACTTTTTGGTTGATAAATACGTTTTGCTGTGTAAAAATCACACGCACCTAGTGCGTGCGTGTGTTTAGGTTAGTAAATCACCCCCTAAGACTCATATAACCTTGAGACTGATTGAGCATAGGAAAGAGGAAGGAATCTGACCAGACATCTTACAAAGACTGTAGATTACCTGCAGTGCCTATCTCCCAGTGAGCAAGTCCCACAATCTGCAGCAGGGTCCCATCAAGTCTTGTTTGCTGGTCATCTAGATTAACACAGGACCTTCCAGAGATAGACACTTTCCCCAAGCAGAAAAAGAGAGGCACTCAAGTACCAAGCTCTCATCCATCAATATAGAGGTAATCTGTTAAAAAGATCCAGAAGGGCATATTGTGGTTCTAGAAGAAACAGTGCGGTCAGAAACAACATGCTCAGTAATGTCCAGAATAGGGAACTTTGTCAATTGACCTTTCTGCAGGAAGTTTCCTAACCTAAATGGGGAAGCCGGTGAAAAACCTGCATTACATAGGAAAGAGGTCAAAGGTCCACAAGGAGTGGACCAGGGTTGAACTGAACAGCCCTGCATGATGGTGACCTAAGGTTATCAGTGCTAGACCCCTGGCAAATCATATATAGATGATGTTTGCAGATGATGTTTAGCATTGTTTAAACTGCAAGAATCCAGGAAATCCACCTTTTTTAAAATTCTTTATTTAAATTTTGAACAGCGGGGTAACAATTAATCTGAATATACGTTAAACAAACCGTATGCCCAAGATACGTCATATTCATACGCTTAAGTCGCTAATCTCATGAAGGTCACAGGTAGCCATGGGTGACCAAGTCAATCTGGGTGGGCTGTGGATTAGGGCCGGAGGCTAAATGATCCACATGATGCTTTAGTAACAGGAGCAGCAGAGGAATGTGCCTTCCCTAAGCTGAATATTGGTAAAAAGGAGAATGGAGTGCACATGTGCAACATGTGACAGTTCTACCTCTTACTGCAGTGAAGTGGGAAATTTGAAAAGGGCACCCAATGTTACCAACTGTGAGGTAGTTCCCGGTGCATCAGCCTGATGGGCCTTACTCACTAAGCAAGCCTTCAGAGATAGGGCCAGACACCAGAATCTGGACCCAGAAAGCACTCTGTGCCTAACACACTTCCAAAACTGTTTTGAAAAACTGTTGCTGAGGATGTTGCGGAGGACATGAATAAAAGTGTGTCTTGATGGAAGTCAATAAAGAGGAAATATTACAAAACAAATAGGCCAGCAAAAATAGTTATATTCTTGTTTTTTCAGAAGAGCTGAGGACAAAGTGTCCAAACTCCTAGAACAGTACCAAAGAACTGAGGCATGGCAAGATGGTAAATAAATAAACAAGGTTATGCTATCTCATTAATGACCACTTAAGATTGGTAACAGCTACTTGCTAGGCTCCGCTTAATGGTCGTCTGCTTACCAGTCAGTTGCAGTCTTGGTACTACTAACAGAGTTTAGGAAGATGTGATGCTTAAGATTTGCTAGCTAAAACATAAAAATGTGAATTGTAACTACATAAACCACATACAGTACATCTTTAATAAAGTATAATTTCACCCCTTGCTGAAAATACTCTTCTTGGCAGAATTGTTGTTTTAAAATACCGTGCAACTGAACACACAGAATAGCCACACATTTCTTTATTAAAGTGACATTAAAGTATAATTTTCCCCTCCCCCAGTGTTAGTGTAGGGTCTTACCTTAAATGATGCCTCTTAATCAGATCATCTTCTTCCTTAGTGTCATTTTTAGCTGTCCCTCCAGCGCTGCTGCGGGTCTACGATCCAGCGCTGACTCCTCTGTCCTCCTCTTCGCTCATGTCCCACGGAGTCTGTGCGAGTGCATGCTGCTCCATATACTTACCTTGTGTCTCTCCTCGTCTCCCGGCTGAATATCTGAACTGCGCATGCGCCCGCCCCAAGATCCTTTGCGGCCTCCTGAGAAATGTTCAGATGTTCGGACGAGAGCGCGTGGCAAAGACACAGGTAAGTTTAAACCTGTTTCAAAAGTTTTTTGTTTCTTTTAAAAAAAAAAAAAAGTTTTTGCATATACGTATCTACTAGCAGTAGATATATGCAAAAAATGTGAGGGTTTAATAACCCTTTAAGTTAAGCAGTGCACACAGTTTGGTAGACATTTGAAGTGGAACTACTTACTTATATTATGTAGGCAGTTTTGTGAATAATATTTTATTAAAAGAGTAATTTTTTATAAATTCTGTCTGCCAAAGGAGCATTCTGAGTTAAACAAGATAACGTTTGTAAAAAAGAAAGTCTAGAAAATGTGTATGTGTATATGTAGACATCTATATATACTGTATATAGATATATACATACTCTGTTTATATACAGTATATTCATAGACTACTGGACAAAAGTTTTAGAACACCCCCATTTTTCCAGTTTTAATGAAATGTTCAAGTTTAGGTTAACAAAAACTGCAAAATAATGTACATTTCAGAGTTATACAAAAGGCCTTTATGGTTTAACAACTCACAGTTGTTCTGCAGCAATGTAAGCAAATTAAGCCTTGAAAGTTTTACTAACAATTCCTACAGGTGTCCCACCTTTTGTTTATTACTCACAAGCCCTCTGTCTGTATAAAAGCAGTGTTGGAACAGACTGTGTTACTACACACTCTCAAGCAACATTTGGACAGTATTGTACTGCAGGGAGTATTAAATTGCTCTCAAAATGGTTAGAAAAAGGCAATTCCCAAAGGAAAACAGACAGACCATTATAACACTTAAAAGTGTAGGCCTTCGCTTTAGAGAAATTGCAGAGAAGTACAGTACAGTTTCCTACACCATCAAAAGGCACTTGAAAACTGGAGGAAAGTCTGACGGGAAGAGATCTGGCAGACCCAAAGCCACAACAGAATCAGAAGACGAGTCAACAGCTTGCATGACAGGCGGCTCCCAGGACAACAGCTTCAAGCACAGCTTAACACTCATCGAAGTAAGTCTCAGTTTCAACTGTGAAGAGAAGACTTTGAGCTGCAGGTTTGACAGGTCAAATGACAGTAAAAAAGCCGTTGCTAAGGTGGCTTGTCTGGGCCATGAAACACTGCCAGTGGACTACTGAAGACTGGAAGAAGGTCTTTTGGACCAATGAATAAAAATTTGAGATCTTCAGTTCATCATGCAAAATTTTTGTACACCATTGAGTAGGCAGAAGGATGGTTCTTGGTGTTGAACACCAACTGCCAAACATAGAGGAAGCATGATGGTCTAGGGCTCTTTTGTTGGATCCAGAGTTGGCGACTTGCACAGAGTGAGTGGCACCCTGAACCAAAACTACTATCACAGCATTTTGCAGTGCCATGCAATACCCTCTGGTGTATGCCTAGTTGGTCAGTGCTTCATCCTACAGCAAGATAATGACCCAAAACATACCTCCAGGTTGTGTCAGAACTAGAAATTAGGCTTCAAATCATGGAATGGCCAGCACAGTCTCCAGACGTAAACCCCATTGAGCTGGTTTTGGATGAACTGGACAGAAGGGTGAAAGCAAAGCAACCTACAAGTGCAACACATTTGTGGGAACTTCTGCAACAGTGTTGGGAAGAACTTTCCAAACAATATTTGATTTCCGTTTCAGAAAGAATGCTAGGAGTGTGTTCGGCTGTTATATCTGCAAAAGGTGGCTACTTTGATGAGTCAAAAATGTAGATTACATTTTGTTAAAGAAAATTATTCCATGATTTCTTTTGGATGTCCATTTGATTATTTATTTGTTCTACGCTTTAGTTTCAGAGTACATTGAGACATTAAACTGCGTAGATTTCAATAAAAACTGGACAAATGGGGGTGTTCTAAAACTTTTGACCAGTAGTTTATATAGTGATTTAGAATTAGGGATATGCCTATGATAAGTTGTCTTGTGCCTAATTATTCCTACTTTCTTTACAGGTTTTTGGGGCAGACGATGTGGTCTGTACAAGGATATATGTAAAAGCATGAAAACAAATTAATACATGCTCTCAGAACCTTTCTTTACCCATCAGCTATGTAAGGATCCTGCCACACCAGTCCATCTGTTGTATACTTAAAGGTTGAAATAGTGTTGTCATTCACTAGTAGAATCAGACTGCGCTCTTACAAAATGCATTGTTTTTATAGTAGTGCCCAAAGCTTCTGGGGCATGAATCTCCAATGATCTGAAAAAGCTCAGTGTGCATTGGTGCTATTTCAATACATATTGCCAAGCATGTTTACTCTTAGTTCTCACCATGTCACCTATTTTATTGCTAAACAGCCAATAAATAGTCTACTAACTTTTAGGGACAGCCTTTTCTTTAGTAGATTTTATTAAAATCTCTAGAATTAATAGGCACTTAAATGCATACATCAATCAGTTGAACTATACATCCCAGACACCCAGGGCAAATTGACAAATTCCATACAGAAACTAGCACCTTTAAGATAGCACCAAACTTGAATTTGTTGTGCCAAGTAAAAAAGCAGCCATTTCTGCTGTGTACATAGTGACTTATGCCTTAATAATACATGTATGTGTGACCAAACATCTACTCATAAAATAGCTTTTTGGATGAATTGACAGCTCAGTCATTTGCTTTCTGGTGCAATGGGATTATGGGTCATATGGTATGGCGGTAATTTAGCATGTATTACAATTCCCCCTTTTTATTAAGGTATACCATGTTTTCCATACACATTTGTTTTAGATATACGTATTGTCATGATTGTAGGCATCTTTTCATACTGGCAAGGAAATATTCAACTTTCGTTGAGAAAAAAGTAATTCTAATGCTACCATATCGGCAAAAGAATGAAGATACAGGAATCACACATTTAAAATAATTACATGTAAAGTCTACAAAGTCTCTCTGGACTTTTTGTATTGCTGGGTCACATTTTTAAAACAGGGCTGAAATCATTAGTTAGAGCGAGGGGTTCATGGTTTGGCACTCACATATAAAGTGCTAAAAATCCAGACTTTATTACAGCTGAATTTCATGCTGATATATAAACACCACTACAATACTAGTGCAAGTACAAGTACCTGAATCTGTTTTCATATCAGTCTCCTGTAATAACCTGTACAGAAACACTTTCTCTTGGGAGAGCTTAGTCCAGCACTAGAAGCCCACCAGACTATTCTGCAATGCATGTGTGCTGAACATGCTAACAGATGGAGAGTATGCTGTAAGAGGCATGACCTGTGGGCTTCACTAGTAATCAGGAGGGTGGTAGTGAAAATAGATGTGCTGTTGCAGAAAAGGTTAACTATGTTCAAATATGTAAAAAAATCCAGTGGTTCAGAGTTACTCTATATGTATATGTATTGTAAATGTGTGTTTATGTGCCTCCCTGGAGTTCAGCGTTAAAAGCCATCTATATAGGAGTCATAGTGCACATGATTCAAATAAATGAATCAGTGTTCCGTGCTTACATCTTGGCAATTGGTGAGCACAGAGATCACACTGCAGAGGGGTATATGGTTAATTTGCATCTTGATGGTGCTTTATCAAGACCACGTGGAAACTGACAGTTTTTTGATGGAAAAAATCAGGTCTGGATTCCATGGGTTAGTTTGGGGGATTGGTTTGAGGTGTAGATGACTCACACAAAAGGCCCAAGAGTACTAAAGTTTGGAGGCTTCCAATGGCCACTGTTACCCTAAAAAATATTCTGTGACGTCCTCCCAATGCAAATATGTTAGCAATTTATATAGCACCTTACAAGACTCGTGATTGTAGATTCATGGACAGGTTGACATCATCACACTGAACATAGAAATCAGTGTAACCCTACAAAAGGCCTTGAGGTACAGTATTAGAAATGCTTTTCACTTAAATCTTCATAGGAAACACTTCTTGTTACTGTCAATAAACAAGTCAACAATTAAGGGAGAATAACATACCCAGGGCACTTCATAAATAATAAAATGCCTATCCAGAACCTGATGACCAGTTTACTGCCTGTAATGTATGACAGTATGGTTTGATAAAACGCTAACATAATTACAACCTATTTGGGAAAATGTTTACAATACCTGCATTAAAAAAGTGAAAACAAATTAATATACTATATATACCCAGCATTACTTTATTTGTGACTTTATTCCATTAATTTTCTCCTAAATTAAAATGAGCTCTAGGTTTAGGTACTGACATCTGTAAATGCAGCCATCTTAGCACTTTGGCATTGCAAGGAAAAAATGAAAAACAGCGAAGAGACGACAACATAGCACTTTTACTATGCAGCATGTGGTCAGATTGTGTTGTATTCAGTAGTGAATAGTAAAACGTTTACACAAGTCTGCCATTTTAACAATACTGTGGAGGTAAGATGTCCGTACCACGCATAACAAAGATGCCTGTGACGCAAAGAGTAAGATCTTATTTTTGATTGAACATCTGGACCAAGGCTGCATTTCATAAGGACGCAGTCTGTCTTTTATCCCTTACTACTGAAGGGGACTGGGATACACTACAAAGCACCACTCCCTACAAAAACCATACCTTGAACAATGTTCTTTGTATTGTGTACTGTGCCTTTGATCAGTGTCTCATTACACATCTGCTCTTGTTACTTTGTGATTTAATAAAGTTATTTCAATAAAAAAACAAACCGTATTGTTATGTTTTCTAAGAATTAAACATGTCTATCCAACAACACTGACAAAAGTGACAAAACTATTACAATCGCATCATTCTAAGGCTCCTTTCACACGGGCGGGCTGACCATCTGGTCTTTTTTGTTTTTCAGCCAGACCCGATCAGATGCCCAATGCAAGTCACCTGGTTACCCCCTCCTCCGACTGGGTCCGAAAAATACCAGACTGAAGAGTGTTCCATTTCGATGGACCTTATTGTGGGTTGGGGGTAATCTGACGTAACATTAGATTTCCCATAGACCGACATGGGGTGCGGTAAATGCAATTGTGGAATCTTGTGATGGAGGAAAAACTGTACAGACATGGATGTCACAGCGGTGACATCCCCTCCGTACTGCTCTGATCAGAAGAGATTCCGTGCATGGATCCTCTGCTGATCAGCCTGTGTGAAAGGGGCCTTAAACAGATGTTACCTCGATGTTCAATAAACAATATTAGTCTGTATTTTCAGAATTATCCAAGAGGTAGATTTCATACAACTATTTTTGAAATGAGAAGATAAATATGTTCAATTAGTTTGAAACATATTATGTGTTTGCAGTGATTTAACATGTGTCCAATCTATAATTGTTTGTTCCCTACATCTGCAACAACCTAAAACATGCTTCTGTAAATTTTAAAGCTGAACTAAAGTCCAATAATAAAGAAAAATGCAAGAAGGTAGAGTTTTTGGCAGATGAGACATGCACAGTCATTAACTGATCTTTTTAATCAATCTCTCTTTCCAAAAAGCATGTAACCCTGAACAAAAACATCTTTACCCTAAAATGTAACTTTCCTGGAGTTCTCATACAATGACAATTTAGACAACATGAGTACTGCTGCCAATTCTCTGTTGCCATACTTGCGTACTTTCTAAGATTTAAGAATGTAAGTACAGTATATTTAAAAAGGGCTCTTACTTTTTTGGGGGTTGAATTACTAAAGGCAAATAGGCTGTTCACTTTGTAAAGGAATTTGCACTTAGAAGGGGAAGCTTGTCTTTAGTTTAGTGAATGAGGGGAAGCTCTGCTGTCTTCCATCATCCAATCATGTTCAAGAAAGATGCTGTTTTTTTTTTAAATTTTCCTTGCACATGATTGGGTATTCTTTACAAAGTGAAGCTTCACCACATTCACTAAGCTAAGGGAAACTTCCCTGCAAAGTGCAAATTCCCTTGCAAAGTGAACAGCCTATTTGCCTTTAGTAAATCAAACTCTTTGGGGTCTATTCACGGAGCTGCTGAAGGATCTGGCCGTAGCTTCGGCTGATCCTTCGGCTAGCTTCAGCCCCAGGACCCCTTCGGTTCAGTAGAACCGAAGGGGTGCTGTACGGGCTATTCACAATAGCCCGTACAGCTCCCGATCATGGGCGAGCAGCTCAGCCGAGCTGAACGCATATGCATCGGCTCGGCTGAGCCGTGCTGAAAGCCGAAAATGGCCGAGCGGCCGGCCATTGGCCGGCCAACAGCCTGCTTCT